TACAAATAGTCATCGTGAGTCCTGACCATTGTGAGACTCCTTTTGTAAAAAAAAAGTCATGAGTCCCAGTCCAGAAGCATTGAGTCCCTATTCAAAAACACGAGCCCCTCGGTCTTTATGTAACCACAGTTAATGTAAAGACAACTCTACATTACAGTTTACTGAAATAAAAATATACTCCTTCTATCGTCAAGCACAACAAAGACTAAAAGAAATATGCTTTGTTAAACAACAGCCGCAAGAACAGCCACAGAAATCGCACAAATAGGGTATTCTTCGAGAACATCCTCAGATCGATCAATCGATCTCTGCGTCTTACGGGACGCATGCGTCAAATTATTTTGCGTCTTTAGGGATTTTTATGACGCAGGAAACAGAGATAACAAAGTCACTTAAAATGAATCGCTTCTTTTTTCCAGGAAAACCTGCCCTGATTGCTCTAGTTGCAGTAGCTGCGCTGGCTTTGGTGGGTCTCATTGTAGCCATTATTGCATGCTCACTTCACAAGAAAAAGCGTGGTGCACAGTCAATCTCTAATGGTAAGTGAAAAATAAGCTCTTACTTCCTCAACTATATTTGAAAACAACTACAAAACAAGCGGTGAATGGGCATGCACCCTAGCCTGCGTAGCAAGCGTTCCCAATGGAATTGTTGCGCGAACGTTGGGGCGAGAGCACAAGAAATGGAAGACAAACTCGCGCGGAAACGATTGCTACGCAGACTACTTGCACCCTCAAGCACTTTGTCCGTTTTGAAACCACTTCAAAACAAGCAGTGTCAAAGGAAGAGTTAAAAGGTTAATGGATTTCATCCATTAACAACTGCATCGCAACACCTCGACCACTGCTGTAGTGTCAAAACAGAATGACCCCAGAGGGAAGCCGCCAAAACAATCGGAAAAAAGTTCTTTGTAGACAATAGATAAGGGCGTCTGCAGTGGAGACCATCTCTCCGCGAACCAGTCTCCACCTACAATAGCCCAGTATCCAACAGAGCCAGCAGCGTCAGAGGAGACATGAACATCTGGAATGGGACTCTAGCGAGGAGACAACAGGAAACTGTACCCGCTCCATGACTGGAAGAATTCGAGCCACCACCACAAATCCAAATGAAATTCTCTAATACATAGATTTAGCCAGGGCTAAAAGCGAAGCCTCCGTTTCTATACTTATTATAAAAGCAATTAAATTTAAAATTATAACATGAACTCAAAGTCAAGAAAAGAAATCTCCACATTCCTATTAATTGAACTGTAGGAGCCTTCGACATGAGTTCACCTTTTGAAGGAGGGGCTTAATGATTAAGAAAAAAAATCACGCAAACAGACCTGAATTGAAAACAATTGTGAAATTGTAGGTCTCTTCAATAGCAGCAATTTACAGGTTACGATTTCTAGGCTCAGTATTTCTGTCTTAAAACCTAAAAGGAAAATCAGACCGACTTAGGAACTTTTGTCTTCCCCTAAGGCCATTATATTTTCTTGTCTTTTCTTATTTATTTTTTTTTAACACGTCCGCACGAGCAGCTATGTGTAGCTTTTACATTTATACCTCACAATATCTGAAGGAAAATTTTACTATATGGTGTATAATATTTTCTTTGAGGACATGCATAGAAAAGCAAACGATAACCTTTTACACTACTAACTGTAATCTTATCTTTCACTTCAAATATCAACGTTAACACAGCAACTTACAACTTTGCCTTAAAAAAATAGACAAACTCAGGTTCGAAAAGCCGACGAATCTGTCGTTAGAATAGAGGAAAACTCCTTCATATTTTAGATGAGCTCAATTTTTTCAGCGAGAATAATAAAGCCGTAAACAAACGACTGAAAACGAACGCAGTAAACTTCATTCAAGCGGTATTCAGGGTACGAGTTACTGAAGAGTCGCACACTGTGCACTGCAAAACTGCAGAAATTCTTGAATTCTACACACTGCAAAATTCTTGAATGGAAAGTAATGAATAAGAAAATAAATAGGGATATATGGAACATGTACAAAAACAGCACTTCAGTTTTAATTCAACGAAGGGGAGTAGCCCGTCTGAAGTGTTTCTGAAAATCTCACGGTAACCGTTGTTTTTTGAGCTAATGTTGTGAATGAACAGTGACAGTTAAATAATTTAATTTCTTGAAACTTTCTATTAAAAAAACGCCTAAGTTAATCCTAAAAAGGAATTCGCGTAACAAAAACTGGATCGTGGATCCGTTCCCGCAAGTTAAATCGGCTGAGCACATGGCAAAAAAACAAATTCGAAATGCACATTTTGTGGTTTTTCTTTCACGCCGATGTCAAAATGAAGAAAACGTCCATGAAAGCTTTATAAATACAAAAATTCGCTTTTAAAAACGAACTTTCCTCGACCATAGAGTACAAAATGTAGCTCAAGTTTCTTCAGAATCCTTGCTGCCTTGGTTGGTTCAAAACAAGCCAAGCGCTACGATTCTCCGTGTAGAAACAAGTTTGAATTCTTCGAAAGACAATTTCATAGCGAAAAGCTTTCGTTTGTCCACAAAAAGGGAACTGAGCATTCCATTGAACTTTCTCTTTCCATTTGTGCCTTTTATCCGCGTATATACAATCTTGAAATGCAAAACTTTAGTCTTGAAAACAACCACATGTTGAACGCGCGCAAGCCATTTTGTTGATGCGTGACATTTACTAAGGTGTCAAATCCGTTTCTTCCCCCACCCCGTAAATGGTTGATATGACGATTGGACTTTTGTGGGGGAGGGGGTATGGGTGATTTAGTTGAGGTAATAATTTTTTTTTCCAAACCTCTGGAGCAGGGGGTCCCCCTGCTCTGGAGTTAGAAATTTCTTTACATGCTTTTTTCCTCTCGAAATCAGTCTGCAGGATATTTTTTTTCTGAAATCACCCATAACCCCCTCAAAAGTCAAATGGTCGGCCCCTAGAATCCACCAAACATTTGCCCAGTTGACAGATTCTAAATTGTCAATCATTTCTAAAGCCTTTTGAAACAATAGGGACAAAACTCTCTAAGGGAGAGGGGAGGAAGTCGTTTTTACTTTCCAATACCCGGAGAGTCCGTACGGACGGACGTACGCCGACGTCATAACCCAAATTTCTCGGATGGATAGTTTACTAAATTTTTCTTGCCCATTGACTATTTTCCAATTGCCCATAATACACTCTGTTTGCCCCCCAAATTTTGCATAACTTATTGTCTTAAAATGCTCTTGGGAAAATGCCATACTCCCAGGAGCATTTAAAAACAATGGTTTATGCAGAATTTAGGGGACAAACAGAGTGTATTATGGGCAATTGGAAAATAGAGAATAGTTCGCCGCTGCGCGCGCCTCGCCAGCGCGAGGGCTCCGCTATTAAGCCTTATAGGATGGTCCTCTCTGCGAAAGGCTGAGAGCAGATTGATTATACGTTGGAGGAAGGTGTGACCAGAAGGGACGACTTTGCATGCATGTTGAAGATTGCATTGATACGATCAAATTTTCCTTGCGGGAGGCGCGCCTGCAAGAGGAGAGGGTCGAGTTCTATTCCTGAAACGGTCAGGAAAGTGCAGGGGCCCTCCAACTTGTCAGGGTGAAGGGGAATCCCCCAATCCTGGAATTGCTGGATACAAGTGGCTAAGTTCAGATGGCACCTCTGAGAATACCAATTAGGAGGACCCAGGGTGTAGAAATCGTCCAGAGAGTGTAGGAGAAAGTTCACGTCATACTGTTTTTTGAGAAGCCATTCCGTCAGGTCCGCAACTAAAGAAAACATGTAAGGCGCTGAACGAACCAAAAGTTAAGGCCATGACCACAAGGTAATTTCCTTGCCACTGCATGCCAAGAAGATAAAGATCATTAGGGTGTGCAGGAATAATGCAGTAGGCACTTTCCACATCAAACCTCGCTAGTAAAGTGCCCCGACGGAGCGACATGATCCCGTCAATAATGTCATCTACTTTCATATATTGGACCGTGAAAGAGTCTTTTCTAATGCCGTTATTCACACTGTGACCATCAGGACTAGAAAGATCCAGAATCAAACGCCATTTGCCTAGCTGGTGTTTTTTGGGAATGACTCCAAAACGGCTGATGTGAAGGTGAGTTAACGGAGGGGAAGAGAAGGGGTCAGCAACGCGACCCTTAGCTAACTCAGTGTGAAGGTAGTCATCAATAACCGAGGGCAGAAGATTAGTAGAGGGCATATCCTGTGTGGCCGATTTTAAGGAGACCGAAGCAGGGTTGAAACCAACACGAAACCCATTCTGAAGACCATCCAAGACATAGGTTACAAACGATTGATCTGGATGTGTGAGCACTTCCTGGTGTATTTTTTCCACTCTTATGGGAGAAACTTTGTAGGGAGGAAGTGGCAGCTGAGGCAATGACAGAGCCAATGCAGACGAGCATGAACTATTAAAAGAACAAGAAATTCGGGGTAGTCCAATCTTCTGCTGGGAATCAACACCAGTGAACGCAAGCGTGGAACAAGGAACAGTCAAAGAACTACTAACGCTATTTACACAAGAGGGGGCTGCCACCTGCAAGGTGGAATATGCACATTGAAAAAATAGCCAAGAAAATCGCATCGGGCATTGGAGTAATTAAACGTTGTAGGCCTTTTGTTAATCGAACCACGTTGGAGTCCGTTTTCAATGCCTTAGTTCAATTTAATTAATAAGATTAAGATAAGATTAAGATTAAGAAGATTAAGGCAACCTTGTTGTTAACACCGACGGCGTTTTCCCCCAGATGGATTGAGGGACCGGGAGCGCTGAGACCCCTTGTAGGTTGGAAAGGGGCAGATGGTAAGGGGGTGTTGACCATCGCATTGTTCGCAGACATGACCATACCGACATTGACCAAGAGACCAGCAAAAGGCATCATCATTCCAGGATTGACAATACTGAATGGGGTCGAAAGCACGCTTAGGTGGGATGTTCGATGAGGCTGAGGTATGGGGCAGAGAGGTCGAGCGAGGTGCTGATTGACCAGTAATGGTGTCGGATGCACGAGTGTGAAAGTTTTATAAATCCAGGTTGATCTTAGACCAATCGGCTAGAAGAGAGGCTGCAGCATCCATCCTGAATGCCGTGTCGTAATTCATCCAAGCTGGTCCAGGAAACTGACAAGCCTTTTGGAGGATCAGTAACTTATACTGAGTAGTATCCTGCCAGTGAGAAGGGTAAGTACTGCAGAAGATCCACTGGTAAATGGTAAAGGCCTGAATCCACGTGAGAATGTCGGTGATTTCTACCACCCTTTTTTTGACTGGGGCAACAAGTAGTTTACCATCCAAATAGTTATGAGCCTTGGCCTCTTGGGCATGTATGTTCTCCGTTAGGAGATCCTCAAGCTCAACGAAGGCGCCACTGGTAATTTTGGCCACCAGTTTCCCCGGGATTGGCGCGTAACCGGAGCCAACTACAAACGCTTTCCCAGCTGAAGGTGCCAAGGTCGGGCTGCTGGTCGACGGTACCATAGCAGACTCGAACAAGGATGGTGCCGACGAAGCCTTGACGGGCGGCTGAGAAGCACGAGGGACCACGGGAATAACCATGGGAATACCAACAGTCGAATAAGTAGAAGGAAACGACAGCACAGTGACGCTACCTGTTAAAGAAGACGAGCGACAACCAGTCGAGGTTGATGTATGAGTTGACGGCACATTCATCGCGGAAGAAGTCGCACTGGAATTGTCTAACATAGTGCGGGAAGAATTTGGCACTCAGTTCTCTCGAAAAGCCGCCAACATCAGAGGGAGCGACTGCTGAAAAGCTTGGGAAATGGCCTGTGACAGACTCTCCGCTGAGATGGAGACCGAAGAGGGCGACGATAATGCCGAAGTAAAGGAGGACGATGATGTGGAAACTGATGTAGTCGAGGGGGCGGATTCACTACTCGTAGACGAGGCAGGACTGTGCGGATCCAACGAAGCCGAGATGCTGTTGAGCATATTGCGAGACATGTTTGAAGACAAACCTTTGAGGAAACAGACAGGAAAACAAAGAAAAACCTCGCGGAGTTGACGAGAACGGAGACAAAAACCGCCGAAGAAAAGCGAAGAAAATGACTAAAAGAACCCAGCACGAAGGAAAACCGAATGCGCCAATGAATCACACGATCGACGTTACTGTAGCCAGCTACTGAGAATGTGCATGCCAAAGACCACTGACCTCAGGCAGTTAAGGCGCTCTTAGTTGTTAACTCCGTTAAATTGCATTTAAATGCACTTGACTGGCTCACCCCTTTGCAACTAACAAAAAAATATATATGGACCGCAGAATGCTTTTCCTTGTTTATTTTTGTG